TAAACAAAATTAAATATCTGCACCAAGTTAACAGTATAACTTGACCAAGGAGCAGGTTACTTATTGCAGTTCAAGCTATGCATGTGCATTTTCTTGAATTTGATTTAGGGGCAGCGTCTATCTGCGAATGTTTAAGCTCTTAGGTCAGCTGCATTGTTGGACCAAAACAATGCCTCATGACTGCAAGTACCTAGTTACATTGATCTATGGTGGCAAGTAAACACTCACCTTCACATGATTGTGGCACTGCAAAAAATTAAAGAATCCTCAAAGCCCAATTATTCACACCAATTTCAAATTAACAACACGTATGCTACATTTTTCTTACTGTGGCATTAAAAGTCTGAATGTCTGCTATGCTGGACAAGGTACCAGAATAAGAACAAAGGTAAACTGTAATTATACACATGTAATTCCTGCTCAGTATTAATGTTATGTATTTAATCCTATCCAAAGACAAATTTATGTCAATCTATAAAAACCAAAGTTTCAGTATTAGATGTTTACCACCTATCCTGCAAGCTGTACAAAGAGGAAAACATCCCAAACACATCTTGTCTAGCAGATATTGTTTTGCCACCATCCTGCAAATCTGTATGACAATGCACCCCTATTTGGAATTCAGTCCATACAGGTCATTAAAGTTTCTCATTCTTTTTTACGGAGAAGTTTGAATAAGCCACAAGAAGGAAAATAAGTTTATATACGGCCCATACCCTACCTTTTCTGTTAAGTGTTTTACTACAGGACATGATGTATCTGTGGCTGCATGTGTCCTGTAGTTTCCTGAGACTTCCATGCCATGTGCAACAGCTGCTGTCAGATAATTTGTAAAGTTTGATTCCAAAGCATTTGAGATTCTTGGAGACAGATTGTTTGAAATTTACCATCCTTCTGAAAGTACTGTAACTTTGAAGATGGGCGTGAGAGAGAGGAGTCATGATGCCCTCTCCACAAAAACTGGCTACATGGATTGCAACACCTGGGAAGCCATCGAGATCGAATCACATCCTGATAACTTCAACAGGGAGTATGGACTTCACCTGGGCCAGTCATGGTAGCCCCTCATACACAATCTTCGAGGCTCTGGAAGCATTCTAGAGAACATCACCTGAACCAACCGGACCACTAACCCGGCCCCCACGTCCCAAAGCCCTCACAAGGGCTACACCATGACTCCTCTCTTTCTCCTTCTCTCACACCCACGTGCTCCCATTGGCTCGGGACAGGCTACTCCATTCACATTCCAGCACCTATAAACCTAGCCCCACACACCCTATTGGCATATTCATCGCCCTGATGACGGAGGCAGTATGACCTCTGAAATGTTGGTAAACATCGACCAGACTACACAGCACAACAACCCAGAAATCTTCATGCTCACTGCTGTGAAAACCTCAAATCTTACAGACTATAACTTTGTCCACAGTCAGATAATCATGAGCATATTATTTTGAGTAAGGGTCTGCAATTTAGAAGCATTTCTCAGATTCTATAGTTTTGGCCAGTTTGAAAATAGTACAGTGAAAACATATTTAATTGATGTGCCATAAAAAGGTGTAAGGGACTGTTCAATCACAACCAATAGTCTGCCAAGCTCCCAAGTATAAAATGTTCCTGGCAGAAGCATCTCAGATTCAGTAATGTCAGCTCATCAAGTGTGTTCAAGTATTGCTGATAATATATGTTGGTCTCCTCGATCAGCAGTGATAACATTCAAAGTACATGAAAACACTATTAGGAGTCCAGTCCCTGATGTAGGTGGAAGACATATTCTGACAGATCCTCATCTGTTTCTCCAGTCCCAATGCTATTGCCCTTGAAACTTCAGCTGGAGCACAGGCAATGGCAGATCTTTCAACACAACTCATTCACGTGATGTGTGCGCTACAGTTCAGTTCAGGTTAGGGAGTATATCTTATACAACTCATAATTTTCTGATTTGCAACCACTCTTGTTGCTGACAAAATGTTTTATTTAAAGGCCAATACATGTGAGCAAGAAATTTCAATGTTACACACTAAAGATTAGTAGTTTCCATTTCGAAATATGACTAAAAGTGTAAAAGGAAAGTGTTGCCAAAAAAGGTTAAATAGCATTCATTTGCAAGTCTGTCTTAAGATAACGCAGTTTCTGCGTGTACTCACAAGGTTTTCAACACTGGTTTAATAGGGCTGTTTTAGTCTGCTGCCTAGCAAAACCTTCAGCTTGACAAGCAAGACCTATCCTATTATGACAAAAGTGAAGAATATCTTTCTGCAGACTTTTTTGCGATTAAGATGGCAGTGAACAATTAAGAACGTGTAAAGCCACGAAATCAACTGCATGAATATGAAACACAAAAGACTACAGCAGAATGGAATGGTAAGTGCTGAATATATGTTCTGCATACTCTCTCCACCTTGTAAGAGCAACCTGTTCCAGCATTTGCAGAGGCAGTTGCTTGTTTTGTGTGACAGCACCCTACTTTACTAGAAACTTATATTGCAAGCATACAATGACTTGATTGTACAGCGCTTCTGTTCATCAGACATCCCTTCTATAATATTAATTTTGCCAAAGTGCCACACAGCTGGAATTTAGCCCAGTAATGTTTCTACCTTGTTAACAATTTTCACTTGCACTCCTTCTCTCATCTGTTCCTGAATGAGATTTAACATTTCTTCAGTGTTATAATTGACTGCACACCGTGTGATTTACATTTTATCACCAACTACATGACTTATGGAACCCAGAGGATCATCACCGAATTAACCAAAGCCCTCCACCGGACCGTCCCGGGCCAACAAAAGCCAGTCTCCTTGAACTCCTATCTCCCATAGATCCCACCAGATATTATCCTCCTGCCTACGTCTCCCCAACGGTCTCCTTCCCTCAGGCTGCTAACCAATACCCAGTGCACACCTCTTGCCCTATCCATGCCCCACCCATCACATTTTCTTGACTTGGATCACTCTGGCAATATTGGGGTAGGAATACAAATTTTTAACCTCCTCATTACACAGTTTTCTCATCTTTTCTCCTAGGCCCAAATATTCCAAACACCCTATTCTAAATCACCTGCAATCTGTGTTCCTTCCACAGAGTGAGACAACATGTTTGGCACCCATACAGTAAAACCAAAATTATTGTTTTGTATATTTCAATCTTCCAGTTCTCAAAAATCAGATGAGAAGACAAAATATTTTGAATTGTTAAGTGGCAAGCATTTCCAGAATTTAGTCTCCTAAACTTCCTCATGAATATCATTTTGATTTGTTATTGTTCCCAAATATTTGAACTTTGTAACACTTTCAAACAATTTATTAGCCGCACAAATATAATTTTACCCGCCTGTCTGCTGATGGGATACGAACATGTACCAAGTTCTTTCTGACTTTACTACTATCCCTATCTTTCTACAAGCTTCTAGTAAAACTTCTGCATTCATCTTAATTCTGTTTATATTGTCAGCCAATAAATGATCAGCATATACCAACAGCCGATGTATCCTGTTCAATTGCAAACCCTACTGCCATTCTTGATGGAAAATGAGTCAGATAAATATTTACTTATATGAACTTTGCTACAGGTTTCACAGATGCGTAGCTTGTATAGTGACTGGATGACTAGGGTTCGATTTCCTATGAGGGCAGAGGATTTTTCCTCTAGCCTCTGTGTCTAGACTGATTCTGAGGCCCACCCAGCCTCCTATCCAATATGTATCAGTGTCCTTTCACAGGGCTAAAGCTCAACCAACGCGTGATGCTGACCACTCACCCCATCTAGTGCTTAGGTCAAGAATGAGCAGCTATAACACCCCCCCCCCCCAA